GGTGGCTTGGAAAATAGCTTGAACTCCTTCCTCTCTGTGGCAGCCCCTCAAATATTGGAAGACTGCTATCATGTCTCCCATGGTCCTTTTCTTCCCTAGACTAGCCAAGCCCAGTTCCTTGTAACCGTTCTTCATATGTTTTAGTCTCCAGTCTCCTAATCATCCTGGTTGCTGTTTTCTGCACTTTTTCTAGAGTCTCAACATACTTTTATAGTGTGGATGCAGTATTCTAGGTATGGTCCTCCTAACTACAGGGCATTTCCTAAGTTAGATACATATATATGTCTAAATGCTATTACAGATATTTCTATTCGCCATTGTGGCTACTTTATCATGCTGTTGTTTATAGTCAATAGCAATAGCACTTAGACTTATATATTGCTTTGTAGTGTTTTACAGCCCTCTCTAGGTGTCAGCATGTTGCCCCCAGCAAACTGAGTCCTCATTTTACTGACTTCGGAAGGATGGAAAGCTGAGTCAAGTCAGGATTGAACTCCTAGCAGTGGGCAGAGTCAGCCAGCAATGCTGCATTCCTATCACTGCACTACCATAGCTCTACATCTTTGTGCTCTTGTAGCAGCTTGCTAAGTGGCCCGCTGTTTCTTCAGCTTCTTTGTATAGGTGGCATTTTCTATTTCTTTAGTTTAGTTTAATTTAGTTTATTGTCATTACACAACGAAATTAAATGCCACCTTCGGTGTACATTATAACTATAAAAAATAAAACACAAACATCCTTCACATTCTATACAATTGAATTGAAAACCTGACATTGCATTAATATTGCACTATACATTAGAATTCAGTATAGGTACTGCCCTGGGATAAAAACCGTTTTTCAGCCTATTTGTCCTCATTTTTATTATCCTTTACCATCTGCCAGATGGCAATAGTTAAAAAAAAATGGTTGCCCTGGATGAGATGGATCTTTGAGAATGTTTTGAACTTTGTTGCGGTCCTCTCAATTCTGGCTTTGTTCAGTATGCATTTATCCTTAAGGCTTGGTCTTATACAGAATTTGCCCCTCTTCTCTTCAGCTCTCTTCTTCATAGCCATTGCCAGATCTTTTTGCTATTTGTTTTGCCATATAGTATTGTCCCTTGCCATGCATCTTAATTTGATCTTTCTGGTAATCCAGTTTGATCTCTCAATAAGCCTTCACGGTATACTAGCTTCAAGTGCATCTTCTTCATAATCCTTCAAGTACTTTTCCAATGCTGTTTTTTTCTTCTTCTTCCTCATCTCCCTGGAGGATTATGATTATTTCTATTTAAAAAGAGTACGGAGTCCTCTGACGAACACTTTTTTGTAATATACCAGTGGGATTTCTTGGAAAACAGCTGATTTTTTGTGGCTTGCACCTTGGTGTGCTTTGTAATCTCAAACATCTTAGATGACCTCAAGCAGAGTTATGGAGAGTGCAATCTGAACCCCATATAGAGACCAAAAGAGTTACACCTGTCAAGCTTTTGAGAGTAAACTTGCTTGAATAAGAAAGAAGTTCTCATGTAAATGGACTTGGAGAGAAGGGGAGGGGAGGGGAGGGGAGGAGAAGAGAAGAGATAGAAGCAACTTTATCTAGAAATGGGGAATTTAAGCAGAACAAAATGAGAGGAATTGTCTGATCATTTGTTACAAAAGCATTAGGCTATGAATAGATTTGCAGAAATAAAGCTCTATAATTCTTAACTGTCCCATACATTTTCAATTTGCAGCTGTAAAGGAGTGTCATTCATTTAAATAAAATACTTTTTGTTTGCAAATTATAGGTGTGGGGATTTAATCCAGCTATGCATTTATCTTTTAGCAAAAAAGAAAAAAACCTTGTAGGGCTGCCCAGCACATATTAGAGATTATAAAGTGTTGCAGTATAAAACGGACTCATCAAAGTTTCTGTTGAAATACAGAATAAAAAGGCAAGACAATTGCCAAATTTAAGCATTCTGGAGAAATAAATGCAGCTGACTTTGAAATGGGTATTGATTTAGAGTATCAAGTTTTTACTGGAGTAATAAGGTGGTCCTACATTCATATAAAGAACTGATAAGAATGTTATGGTTCTGAATTATCCTGGATTATAGATTTTTGCTCTATTTATTCCACAGGGAAGGAAATCAAGAAACCCTAGGCAACAAACATTACTGCATGTGTATGTCATACCAAATGAAAATCACAGGAAGATGATAAGATGTGCAAATGAATAAAAGTTGGCAGGGCTGAATCCCAATAGGAACAGCAAACTTGTTCTGGATCGGTATCAAAAATGTCTGATACTCCAATAATATGGAAAGGGATCAACCATGCATCATCTTTATGCAAGCTATGAAGGTACACCTAAACTTTGCTAGTCTATACAGCTACAACTGATGTTTTAAGGGCATATTTTAGCAGTACAAATAGTCCTCAATTTACAACAATTCATTTAGTGATCATTCAAAGTTACAGCAGCACTGAAAAAAGTGGCTTATGACCATTTTTCACACTTAAGACCATTGCAACTTCCCCATGGTTATGTGATCAAAATTCAGACACTCGACAACTGATTCATATTTATGATGATGTCACTAACTTAACACCTGCAGTGATTCATGTAACAATTGTGGCAAGAGAAGTCACAGAATGGGGCAAAATTCACTTAACAACAGAAATTTAGGGGCTCCATTGTGGCCATAATTCGAGGACTGCCTATAATGCTTGAAATTGCCTTGCTGGAGGCTGTTTTGCAAACAGAGCTTAGGCCTTTGGGATTTGAAGTCTGTTTCTTCACTCTGCCAAAGGAGTTCAGTTCCCTTCTGGGTGCAGAAGGGAACTGCCCCAACAGGCTGCAGGAATGGAGTTTGTGTCTTTGAGATTTGAGGTCAGTTTCTGCACCTCATTAGAGGAATTTGATGCCTGGAAAAGAACTATTCCAGCTGGCTGCAGGACTGGAACTCAGATCTTTTGGGATCTGAACTCTGTTTCTTCAACCCCGTGGAAAAAAAATCAGCAGCCCACCTGCGCAGAAGGGAATTTCATGGAAGACAGACCTCTTGGAAGATGGCAGCAGTTTTCAACTTTTCTTGCCAGCTATCCCACTAACTTTCTGGGGAAGCCAGAAGAGAAGACTGTGAATGGTGATTAGAGAGTCAGTTTGGTCTAGTGATTAAGGCACCAGGCTAGAAAGCAAGAAACCACGAGTTCAAGTCCTGCCTTAGCCACGAAAGCCCACTGGGTATTGTTGAGACAGCTATATTCTCTTTCACCTGACCTTACTGGGTTGTTGTGGGGAAAATAAGAGGAGGAAATGTATTGGATGTTTTCTGCCTTGAGTTATTTGTAAGAATAATAAAGGTGGGATACAAATTGTTAGGAATAACAAGGTTATCTAACGTAGTTTGTGTAAAATAATATATATAAACTACGATAGTAAGTTTCAGTGTGTGTCACTTTAAACTGCAAAGCCTGTAATTTTGGGTGCAGTTGTAAACCGCCATAAGAGGGAGCAAGAGAACCTGCTGATTGCTGACGATTGCTGGTTTGATGGATTGATGATTTGCTAACTGTGTGTTTTCCCTACTGCTGAGTTGCTGAATGTTGGAGGAAGAAAGGAGGCTTGACTTCTTCATATCTCTACTGCGAGGAGATATATTACTGGACTGATATTTGTAAGTTTACTGACCTTCCTTTTCCGACACTGGACTTTGCAACTGAATAATTCCCGGATGGACTGAACTAGTGTATGATATATGGACTGTTTGACTATGCTAAAACTACTACTGGAATAAACTATTTAACTAGCACAGTGTATCTGTTTTACTGAGTGTAAGCTACAAAAACGTTTATCTCACATATTTTGCCTGCCTGCCTGACTGCCGTGCAGATTCTACTAGGGTATATCCCCAACACAAATAAACAATAAAAAATAAAATCATGCTTAGCAATCAAAGTCCGAACAGATTGCCAAGCACCCAGGTAACAATCATATGGTCACAGAGGGGCAGTACAATGTTTTACAATGGCCAGAATACTCTTTCTCAAGCCATTGTAATGTTGAACGGTCATTAAACAATTGGTTGTAAGTTGAGGCCCACTGATGATTGTTTTTTGATCTGTTTGAATGGAAAGAAAGGATTCAAATTGGGTACAACAGATATAATTGGTAATATTTATGTAGAGATTCTCAGTCATGGTTATCCCAAAGATGCTCTTTCAAGAGGCAACTGGATGGTCTTGTTTTTTCTTTGAAGACATTTCACTTCTCATCCAAGATGCTTCTTCAGCACTGACTGGATGGCTATTTAGCTATGCAATTTGGGATGAACACCCTTTGATGGTGTGGGAGTATGAATGGATTTCCAGAGAAAAAATTGCAGACTACAGGAACCATTAGCACTACTCAGGTGATGCTAAGGACACAGATAAACCTTCAGGTGGCCTCAATGATTCTCCAAAAGAATGCAAACGATCAGCTGTCTTCAAGGAATATAAATCCTTCCCTTCCGCACCATCCAGTCAGAGCAGAAGAAACTTCTTGGATGGGAAGTCAAATGTCTTCAAAGAAAAAACAAGAAAGTCCAGTCGCCTCCTGAAAAAGAACCTTTGGGATTATATTTATGTTGTTATTTCTGATAACTCTTATTGAACTCTAATTGATTAATATAGAAAGATGAGGTTTTAGAGTTGGGCTTATAGAGAATGAGGTGAGATACGAAATGAAAAGGGGAATATGGTTGTATTTTAAGAGACAAGTTAGTGCTGATTATAACTGCTGGGAATGGAGCTTCTTCTATTTTTCTTTCTTTTTTCTTCTTTCCTTTTTCTGTGCTTTTTATTTTTTAAAAAATAAATGTATTTTTGTATTATCTAGTTAGTACTATCAAGTTTTATTTGTATAACACAATTTTTAATAAAGTTATTTTTAAAAAAAAAACCACAGCCACGAGATCAGCATCAATGTTTATATTTCAACTGGGTTGCACAATTATTTATGCTGATCTTGTCTTCTGTGATTAGTATACTCACCCCTAACAAGAAGTTCTGCCTCATCTGATATGCTGTCTGCTGTAGATTGCACCCTGCAGCCATATCTTCCAGCATGCATCAGGAGGATGTTCCTGATCATTAAATCCGCAGAAGATGCTTGCTGTGGGGAAAAAAAAAAAGCAATACAATAGCATCTGCTCAAACACATTACGAATATATATTTGCAAAAATGGAAGACCTGCTTCCTTTGAGTATTTGGGAGGGGCAACATAATCCTCACAGTAATCTATCCCCTCCAGCATTCTCAGTTACAGGTTTGTAACTAGTCGCTTAGCCCCCATTCAAAGTTATCTCTTTCCATTTTTAATTTTTTTTTATTGTATTAAATAGAAAAAAAGAAATTAAGGAAAGGAAAGGGAACGTGGAAAAGGGGATGTGAAATACAAGGGGGAAGAGAAAAAGAAAGAAAAGAAGGCATTGACTTCCATTTCTTCCTAGCACAGTACAAGATAAATACATTCCAACCTCAACTTTTTGCTTGTACACATTAGTATATAACTAGCCATTTCTAGAACATCAAATCTTTCTAATCAACAAAACCAAAATCAAAGTTTCATTTTTTTCCCTTCACAAGCACAAATTCCAGAAGTGATAGCCAAATAAGAACATATTTTCCTCTTTAAATAAAGTATTCCATTTAACCTTTCTGGCTTTATCTTCCTTGCTATGGAAATAGCACGTGTTTCTATTTACACCTAGTTATCTTTGTGAACTGTCATCATTTTTATTTACAAAATTTATTGTATTCTTTCAAATTCTTTGGCCTTATTGAAGAGTGGGGGGGGGTAGCACCCATTCAAAGTTACGATGAAGATATCCAGGGGTACTGAAACAGAGGTGGTATTCAGCTGGTTCTGACCAGTTCTGGAGAACCGGTAGTGGAAATTTTGAGTAGTTCAGAGAACCGGCAAATACCACCTCTGACTGGCCCCGCCCCCATCTATTCTCTGCCTCACGAGTCCAAGCTGATCAGCTGGGTTTTCTTTTGCTGCATTGCACAGGAGAACGGAGCTGGAAAGCAGGTTAGTGGGGTGGGGAGGGAATGGAGATTTTACAGTATCCTTCCCCTGCCATGCCCACCAAGCCACACCCAGCATGCCATGCCACACCCACCAAGCCATGCCCACAGAACTAGTAGTATAATTTTTTGAATTCCACTACTGTAAAAAAAGGATTCCAAATTTCTGATGGATGCTCCCCTCTTATACTGACATGAGCACATTTTGGGTGCTTGGAAACTGACCTGCAGTTATGGCTGCTTGCAGTGTCCCAGGGTCACATGACTGTTTTACATTATTTTTCATGAATGAAGGGAAATATATGTGTCCCAGGATAATGTTGCAGGACGTGTACATGTTCTAGTAGAGAGGAGTTCCCGGAGGATGGGCTCCAGCATAAATCTGAAAGCTTGGAAGATTAAACATCTGGTCCTCATGACTGACCCATATTGGACAACGTTTTTGCCCGAAACCAGCATTTATTTAAGTTTTTTTTGTCAAATAACAATGAATTTGCTTAATGTCCATAACCCTGACTTAAAAATTGCACTAAAAAATGGTCAGATTGGCCCTGTTTTGCAATCATCAGGACTTACGACCGTAATGAGCAGGCTCTGTTATGGTTGTAAGTTGAGAACAATCTGCAATATACCTGCTGTACATGGCAATAAGGATTTATATTGAGATGTGCAGATTCCTTAGGTCTAGGCTGGAACCATTGTGTGACGCAGCTTTTGTAAAAAAAATAAATAAATACTGGAGCACCTCCCAGATATATTTGACTGTGGCTTGCTTCTTTGTTGGTTTTATTGTATTTTTGTGGAATTTTATTGATATAATTTTATCCTTTTAATATTTAATATTGTAAGCCTCCCTGTGGTAAGATGGGAGACCAAAAAATTTAATAAACTGTAATATTTTTTTTTAGACGATGACTTTGACTCTTCCTCAGAGGCCGGCATGAGGGACGATGAACTCATTCCTGGCATGTCAGTAACTGGGTTAATTAATCACTCTGAACTGCTGGCTGAAACTGCTTTGGCTGGAGACAGTTTGCAGGTCAGTGAAGAAGAGGAGCTGAGTGGATCTGAGAGCACTCAGGGGAGAGAAAAAGCAAAAGCCAAGGAGATCTGCCTTGATGGGCTGCACTGGAAAGGTATTTATCATGGCAGGCAGAGGGAGGCATTGCTGGGAACTAAGTGTTTTGTTTATGGCTGTGTGGGTTTTCGTGCCTCCTGCTTGACTTTGTGCCTTGGAAACTCTGGACTTCTCTTACCAAGTGAGCTCTCATGGATATACTTTCAGTTTTGCCTGGTGGATTTATGTTTGATTGGTGAACTTACTTGTTGGAGTGACTTTCTATTGTTTTATGGACTATTGGCCCATTGCCTTGTGGACTAATCTTGGCCTGCTTGTGGCTAGCTTTATTTGGGTCAGTTCTGAGTGAAGGGAACTGCTAGGGAATATTAATAAACTCTCTAAAAAACACACGTGTGTGTGAGTGAGTGTTTGCACATAAACAAACAAAAATTGAGTCCTGATATTTGGACTAAAAATACCAAGTGCAGATCTGGGACCATTGCATGTACAACACATGTATAGAAGTACTGCTGTAGGGATAAACCCAGAAACATTTGTGACGGCATTTCAATGTATTCTGTAGCCTGCTATCCAACAGTCATTAACATCTCCATCCCACTGTTGTTAACAAATACTTCCCAATCTTTATGCATCCATTACACCATGTCTCTGTCTCATACAGAGGTTTTACAGGGCAGTGATATCACAGCCATTTGCAGCTGCTTCTAATATTTTGTTAGACCCTTAGGAGAGATTTGAACTTAGGTCTTTAAAATCCGCTCAGATGTACATTTTATAGGTCAGCAGTCTGATGTAAGTACTGAAGATAAATAGATGAGTTCTATTCCAGAATAATTCTTGTGTTGGGCACTGTATGTAGCTTTACGCTGTGTAGCTACTCATGGTTCAATGATTGTGTTAATATCCAGGCTCCCAGCTCTCCTGCAACCATAGATTCTTTTACACATGTCTCATTTTACAAGAAGAAATAATAATGAGGAGAGGAGGATGAGAAGTATTAGATAAAGGTTCGAGAATCACTTTTGTATTTCCAAAACGACAGTATTTTCCTAGGACAAATCTTCCAGATAAAGTCCTAAGGGAAAAATAGGTGGAATCCAATAACTTTATCTTTTTTTCTACCTCATCCAAGATCTGTCTCACAATAAAGAACTAAGCTAGAATTCATCAACACTATGGCCAAGAATTAAACAACAATAAAATGTGGTGTATTAACTGATTCTACTGTTTGTATCAGACTTAATTCTGTTTTCTGAAAACCACTGTCTTTACCTTCCGCTGTTCATTTTTCCTGACTACAATACTGGTAGTCCTTGAATTCTGTCTATAATGGAGTCTGCCCATCAAGTTCCTAAGTCATGAAGGTCATAAAATGGGTTGGTCATGTGACTGAGACAATTTTATGACCTTTTTTGTAGTACTCATTAAGTGAATCACTGTGTTCATTAGGCAAATCCACAGTTTTTAAATGAATTCCACTGTTGTTAAATTAACTAATGGTATGCTGTGAATGTGGTTTGGCTGGAGGCCTAGAGATGGAGCTCTCGCCTCACAATCAGGAGGCTGTGAGTTCGATCCTAGGTAGAGGCTAATCTTTGGAATAGACTCTCCTGCTTGAGCAGGGGGTTGGACTAGATGACCTCAAAGGTCCCTTCCAACGCTGTTATTCTATGAAATCCAGAAGTGCTGGTGTTCAGCAAAACTGAGATAAAATGTGGTCACATGACCACAGGATGCTACAAATGACTGTAAATGTGATTGGGTTGCCAAGTGCCTGAAGTTCAGTCACATGACCACAGCAGAATGGGATGTCTGCCGGAACCTCGAATCTGGGTTATAATAAGAAGTCCCATGGTAGATCTGTTGTACCTTTGAACAGTTGCTAAGCAACTGGTTGTTGTAAGTCAAAGACTACCTACCGGTAACATTGTTCAATCAATCAATCAATTGATCAGAATAAAGCTGGAAGGGATCTTGGAGGTCTTCTAGTCCAACCCCATGCTAAAGCAGGAGACCCTGTACCATTTCAGATAGATGTCTGTCCTGTCTTTTCTTAAAAACCTCCAGTGATGAAGCTCTCACAATTTCTGAAGGCAAGCTATTCCACTGGATAATTGTCCTCACTGTTCGGCAGTTTCTCCTTAATTCCAGGTTTCTTCTCTCTGTGATTAGTTTCCATCCATTGTTTCTTACCTTGCCTTCTGGTGCTTTAGAAAATAAGTTGATCCCCTCTTCTTTATGGTGGCAGCTCCTCAAATACTGAAATACTACTATCATGTCCTCCCTAGTCCTTCTTTCCTCTAGACTAGCCATACCCAATTCCTGCAACCATTCTTCATAGAATGGTTGAGAATCTTCCCTCCCTTCTCTAGACTTGCCAAGAATAATATTCCATGCATTGGATGATGCAGTTAACAATACCAATTATACAAAAGTTTTTAGTATAAAAGTGGTTAGCAAAGTTTTGCATTGTTTTTAAACTATCCGTATTTGACAGCTAATAAAACATTGTCGAATTGAACCAATGATCATTAACTGCAAATTCATGTAGATAATGTAATTTCAAACAAGAATTCAGATGTAAATATATACAGAAATTAGCAATAAGTGTCACACTAGATACAGAAATGGGAGAACGCAATGAAATTATTTTCAGATAGCATCTTCAGAGTGACCAATTTGAACACAGCACAATTTGCTCAGTTTTGCATTAAAATTCTGTTGCACTGCTAGATTTTTTTTTTTTTTAATATTCATGGCTGAATTTGTTTCTCGGTTTATCATAAAAGAATGCTGCTTTAAAAATATGTAAAAACTGAGTCAGGATAACACTGTGCTTGCTTGCTTACTTTTTAAAAATGTATAGTGGCAGGTAATAAATTAATCCTAAATTGCTATTGCAGTTCTTAAGACTGCTGTGCTGTACTGAATGACAATTGCCTATTGTTCCTTTTTAGCATTTAAGAAAAATTTGTTGAGAATTCTGCTGGCCTTTTTTGCTGAATTTCATCTTGATTTATATAACAGTCACACAATATCATTATGGCATTGGAAGAGTCTTAATGTTTTCAGCTTTATCTATTTTTATTAGTCACATTCTATGACATGCTGTCTAGAATCCCTAAAACTTTGCTTTTTCTATAGCAATAGAAAATGCACTCGGTGGCCTAAGTGGCCCTTTTGAATTCTAAAATTTCTAAAAAGTGATTTAAAGGCCATATTGTAGCTTGACCCAGCACTCAGTTTGTTAGATAATTGTCTACATTTCTACAATTCCCTCCCCCCTGTGATTTTCATTCATCTCAAGATCAAGTGAAGTACTAGTACCCCTTTATAAAGCCTTAGTAATACCACACTTGGGCAGCTTAACTGGAACTTAACACATGATCCTAATTCTTTGTGCCTGACATAAGATGTCTGATCAAGGTGAGAATAGAACCACGCATGGCATGGAGAAAATAATGTGGGAAAAATGTTCTCCTTGTCTCCAAATCTTATTGAAGTTCTCAGATTTAGAGCAGAAAAAAGAAATCATGTCTTTGCCTAGAGCATCATTAATCCATGGAATTAATTACCATGTGTGGCTTTGAATGCCGATGAAAAGAAATGGATTTGTGTAAAAGAGGTCTATTAAGAGCTAGCAATCTTCAACACTTAATGGAGCACCTTCCTCCTCCAACTTTCCCACTCCAGATATAGGGGAACAATGGCCAGCTGGTGGTCATTCTCCAACTCTGATCTATCAGCTCCCATGGTCATTGAGAAGTGTAGAGTTGGATTAAGATGGATCTTCATCTAATTCAGTAGGACTATTGTCATGTTCTTATGGTCATGCTTACCAGCTTATACTTGTCCCCTCCATAATCTTCCTCCATAATTCTACTTTTATTTGTACAAGGAGGGACTTTTGTTTGGAATGCAAACCTGGAAACCGTGTTCCTCTTCCGAAGTGACACAGACTAGAGTGGGTTTCCCCCCCACCCCCCCTACTTTGAATTCAAAAAGCAAAATCTACTTAGAGACCATGGGAAAAAATTCGAAGTATTCATTTAAAAAAATCAAAAGCCTTCTAATAACGTGAGTCTTTCTTGTGCACATCAAGACTGACAGATCTGTTGACACTTGCCTAAGCCAAATGTGCATCCAAAAAAAAGAAGAAAAGAAAAGGCACAATTCTTATGTTTTCACCTGTGAGGTTTTAAGATGTGGGGTACTCAACCAATTCATTGTGCCCCTGAAGTTGGATGATATGTGATGAATTGCATTTCTTTTCAATAAGGTGCCAATCTGCTGCTACGATACTTATTAGTTGTGAAATATGGTGGCATTCAGAAAGATTTATCCTTTTGATATAAAACCATGGATACAGAAAAGGTAAGACCAAATCAGCTGACATTTCTCTGCCCCCCTGAGAATAATTTACATTTAATGTGAGCTTTGTTATTAACGCAAATAAAAATATTATATAGACAGTAACTGCTTGATCTAATTCCCTCAGTATCTGATGTATCGTGATGCTCTAAGAAAGGATTCACAACTATTGTATATGTATAGTCTAAAAAATCCAATTAGCAGAACCAACTGGATGAATTTCATTTTTGGGAAGCAGAAGCAAGACCCATTGAAACAGATTACAACACCTTGCCCAAAACATGGTTATAATAATTAGTAGCCATGATTGGGGACTTAAGGCTTAGTCCCATACTTGGAATTAGAAAAATATAAATCAAACTAAAGCAGCTGGAACTGTTCTTTGTTCAAACTTACTTAAGTCCTGGCTTGAGCAGGTCTTTGTTTATCACATAAACGAATGACTGGTTGGGTTTTTACCTTGCACAGAAAAATAAACTATGATATTCCAGCCACAAGGACTGGATCACTAAGTCACAAAGAATCAAGCCATATTTGGGCATAATTTGCTATGTTAGGACCGTGTCCATAGAAAGAAAATGTAGATACTATAATTTAGAAATGGTTGGATATAGATAACACCATAAACTAAGTTAAGCTGGGCTTGGATAATTAGTACTCCAGATAATTGAATTGCCCAATTATTTTTCTCAGAAGATAAACATGAACCAGATGTTAAGACACACAAAATTTATTTCCTGGCATATAGCATGCTGTGTGAACACAGAAGTTGGATTTTGATTTGTGGGTTAACTGTATGTTGTCCATCTGTCACTGACCTATAAGATGGAAGGGATTTATTTGGCTCATTGCAGTTTGTGACAGTTGTGGCGCTTGTTTTTAATTATTTTGAGTTGTTGCTGTTTTTGGTTTTATTTCTTGGGTGCTGGTCAGAGTTGCTGCAGTGAGATGGACAGGCATATGAACTGATGCCATATGAATTGAAATTGGACAACCCTTTGTCTGAAATAGTGTAGGGTTTCTTGCTTGAGCAGGGGGTTGGACTAGAAGACCTCCAAAGTCCCTTCCAAGTTGCTCTGTTATTCTGAAGTAAGTGTAGAAAGCCAGGACCCACCCTCCTAGAAGAATGAAATATTTTAGGAAATATTAAAAAGGCAGAATATGATATTTTCCTAAAGGAGAAATGGAGAAACATGCTCTTGGAGACAGAAAGCAACCCCCCACTTTTCTTGCTAGCCCCCAGCAGATAGTGCAGGTAGCTTTTAGAAATGCAGATTTGGTAATCCATTCAAGACAGGATATTTTGAAACAAAGGCAGAATGGTAGGATTAGATTCCACTCAAGATACAAACCAGGACAAAGCCATTAAACCACAACAGGAATTCCCTAACACCCTTTCAGAACACAAGCACCTTCATTGCATCAGCAGTCCAAACTTCAACCAAACTTAGCTCAGACAAACACCTAGGATTTGTACTTTGCCTATAGAGCCAGCTATGACCCCTACATAACCCCTACGTGGCCCCATGGGAGTCTGACAACAGCCAGTAGAATACATGTTCTTGCACAGGAACAGGAAAGCCCAAGAGTAGGTATAACCCCCCCACACTCTCAACTCCATTTTGTCAGCTGCCCAGAACCCATGTGGTTCTGCTTCATCATTAAACCATCTTTCCAATCAGCCTCATGTTTCCAGGGTCTTTCTCCCGGTTTGGAACTGAACCAGAAGGATATTTCTTCCCACATAAGGCAGGTAAGCTTAGGGACAACTCTATTATCTGAATCAAGCCTATGAAAGCTGAACCCTGGCAAGTGATGGAGCAACTGTGTTTTCCAGCTCTGGGTATTGCTTTTTGTAAAATCATCAGCAAGAGTAGATATTTGTTTTGTTTTACAAAGGAAAGTGCTTTATTGGAAGGATTCTCAGAGGGCATTTCTCTCTCTGAGGGCATTTTGGATTTCAGTGGTCCTCCAGCATCATTGTGCTTTAAAGCACTATATTTCTCAACCTTGGCACCTGGAAGATGGATGGACTCCAACTCCCAGAATTCTCCAGCCAGCTTGCTTCTGAATTTCTCTATTTTAAAGGCAAAGGACTCTAAGGACAGCAGACACTTTTCCCTCACGCAGAGTAAAAGTTCTGCATTTTTTGTTCAGTCTACTGTTTTGTTCAGTCTGATGAAGGAAAATTTTCTCAGATTTTGTTCGAAAGAAGAAGACACATTAATTGAAATTCTTGTGGAAGGAGCAGAGGTTTCACAGGCTGGGGTGGGGGAAATGAAGAAATTCAAGGGGGAAGTCATGATTGTATGATCAAAACATTAATGCATTTATGAATGATTTGAATGCAACACATGTTTAAAAGGGGAGGTTCTTGGATCACATGGTTGCTGGTACCATCTTGATTTCTGACTCCCAACCCAAAGATTGATACCACTGGGATGCATCTCACACTTATTAGATTATTTTGCGCTAAAGAGTCTGTGGGTGAATGACTCATTTTTACATTACGGTCCTTTTTCTAGCAGTTTGCACATTCTTTGGCTTCCTAGATCTATGACAGCATGGAGAAACTCTTCTTGCGTTTCTCTCAGAGGGGAAAAAAGTAAACAGCCAGGGATGACTTTGAATTGGTGGGAAATAATGTGTCAGGGGGAAAAAACCCAATGTCAGCATAACCATTTCCAACAAAAGCCAAAACAACAACAACAACAACAACAAATACAGAATAATAGAGTTGGAAGGGACCTTGGGGGGTCTTCTCCACCAACTCTCTGCTCAAAGAGGAGACCTTGTACCTTTCTGAGCAAACGGCTGTCCAAGCTCTTCTTAAAAACCCTCCAGTGATGGAGCAACCACAACTTCTGAAGGTAAGCTGTTCCACTGATTAATGGTTCTCACTGTCAAGATATTTCTATTTAGTTCCAGGTGGGGTTTCTCCTTGATAAGTTTTCATCTATTACTTTTTGTCCTGCCTTCAGGTGCTTTAGTGAATTGGTTGTCCTCTTCTTCTCTGTGACAACACCCCCCCCCCCCCCCCCCCCACCCAACATTGGAAAGCTACTATCATGGTCAGGAGAAACTGGAAAGAAATTCTCAAGCTTCCTGAGAATAAATGTGTCAACTCATAAAATATTTCGACGGTCTTTTTAGAGTTGTCAACAGAAAGGGAGAGGGTAAAGGGGTTTGAAAGAGCAATGTGGCAGCTTGGAAATCAAAAGTGCATTCCATAAAGTTTTTCAAAGATAGTAACTAGGTGACTGAAGTTTCTGCCGGGCAAAGATCTAACTGGAGAGCATGACTGATGACTCTTGGCTATGGATGTGTCTCATTGGAGAATATGAATTATGATACACTCAGGGGGCAGGGGAAAACCAGGGTCAAGGGTGACAATGAATGATGTGTCTCAAAGTCGGCTACACCCAGGCAGTGCCGCACATATTAGCTCCCAATAAATCCTTTTGAAGTTTTGGAGGTTTGGCTTGAGACTCATGATTTAATTGGGGTAACTGTCGGAATCCTGCTAGCAAAATGCAGAAAATATGACTTCAGCAACAGAGTGATCAATGCCTGGAATGTCCTACCCGACTCTGTGGTTACAGTCTCAACCCCTCACAGCTTCAATCTCAAACTGTCTACCCTGGGCCTCACCCCATTCTTAAGAGGTCCATAAAGGCATAAGCGCACCAGCGTGTCTACCGTCCCTGTCTTACTGTTCCCATTTCTCTGTATTTATTTCCTTTGTTCATGTTTATGTTCATACCTGCACTTGTTATCTTGTACATGTTTGACAAACAAATAAAAATAAGTAAATAAATAAGCAAATAAATAAATAAGCAAGTAAATAAATAAGCAAGTAAATAAATAAGCAAGCAAGCAAGCAAACAAACAAATAAATAAATAAATAAGAAACTCTCCTTTGTTGCTGAATACTTTGCTTGGCAGATTTTAGTTTGAACAACCACATGGATGATACCTAGTTCTGGTTTCCTCCTGCTCTCACACTATGGTACAATGCCCTGTT